TTTTTAAGACTGAAACTGAGATAAGTATTTATTTTTTCAGGGGAAGTAATGGGATAGTGAAAAGCTAAAACGGATCCGGGTCCTCGTGATCGGGTCCCAGATAATTGTCGTTGAGTTTTTTACAGAGCTTGTAATTTCTAAAAAAGTCCCTGTAGTTTTTGTTGCTTTCGATTAAAACCCATAAATGTTGAAAATTATCAAAATTTATGATTGGACGATCATGAATTATTTTGTTAATTATTGGGTCATTTATTTAAGTAACACGTGAATATTGTAATGATGGAAAAAAGAAAGCTAAAAATTAAGAAGCTTTTTTTTTTTTCTTCTGTGTGAAGCTTCAAAGTAGGTGGATACTACTAGATAGCATAGGAGTAATTTGGTTTATCTTAATTAATTAATGTTATGCAAATACATGACCGTTGGATCAGTATCTTTTGCAGGCCAACTTTGAATAAACAATTTGTAAACTTTGTGAGTTTTTTTTAGGCCAACTTTGAATAAACAATTTGTAAACTTTGTGAGTTTTTTTTTTAACATTCAATCATTGAAAATATTGTCGGTTGCGTAACTTTTTTTATTTTGTTGTACAGTAGAAATCAAACCGAGTGTATTTTTAATGTGAAAAAGGCGTTAACGTTATACAGTATATAACTAAATTAAACTATACAATCAGCCGACAAGATATGTAACTTACACAAAGCAGAATGTTCAAAGCATCGAGCAGACCAAAATAGAATTGTCATTCATATATGCGACTATAACGAAGTGAAAAACGTTTTAAAAACTTGCAAATTGTGTTATTTTATTGGTTACCAACAAAAAAAATTGATTAAATTTAGAAATCGGTATTTGATTTCTAAAAATTGGTGTTTCTATGGCTAATACGTAAGAAACAATTCATTATACTTTAAAATAATTAAATTTCATAATCCATATACAGTTTTCTTATTCCAATTATTGATCTAAATGTATTTTTAATAAATTTGGCATTTTTTGGCAAATAACATAGGTTTATTTAAACTAAATTATGAATCTGTCATGATGATACTAATAAGTATATAAATACTATTGATTAGAGTCGACGATGTCATCAATGCATCGACTACTATATTCTACCGAATTATCGTTAACAGTATTGTTAAAATGTCTCCATCTTTGCAGTATTATAGGTTTAGATGATTTCTTTGATGGCGAAATGATAACCAAATCATTATTTGGATGGTACGAAGTTATTCTTTCTATCAAATTAATACGCGATGGCTACAAGTGAACTAAAAATAAAATAGTTGTAACAAAAAAATGCCAGATTTATAGCCAAGTGACTGAAAACAATAAGATATATTGTAACCACCAAAACCAGAAAAATCAAATGTACAATTATAAAAATGTCACGAGTCTATAGCTAATTTAATCGGTGTGGGATAAAAAGTGTTTTAAACTTATAATGTTTTGAATACGTTGTTGTTATGTATGGTTTTTAGAGATATAATATTTATATCTTGAGTTTATAACAAATAATAAAAATATTTATACCTTAAGAAATTATATAATTGTTTTTTAGAACTATAAATTAAAAATCTAAAATTACTTGAACATATTGAAAACATACACAAATTCGTTTTAGGACTTCTTTTAATCGTTGCATACTTGCATGGTG